TTTGGAAGAAAATACAATCATAGCATAAGAGTAAGTAAATAATTACATTTCATTTTAGTTTCATTAACTTTACATTTTAACATTTCCAAATTATTTTCTTTAGGTTGCTAACTACCCTTTTGCATCTAGCCTTTACCAAATTAGGTATTAATATATGTTCTAACTTAATTAGGTGGTCTAATTTTGGTTTGGGCCTTAATGGGCCTAAAGTCCAATTTTTCCTAAATCAATTTTTCTTTAGATTTTTATGAACACTTTGGTTCTAAATCATCCATTTACCTTATTTTGCACTTGAATGAATTAATTTAGGGTTTGGAACTTACTTTAAACTTACTTTTCAAAATTCCTCATTTAGGCCAAATATTTCACCATTTAAATTCCTAATATTTCTTCTCATTTTGCCCTACCATTTTAATAAAAAGTAGCCTAAATATGTACTCACTATAAGAATTAATTTAATAAAAATTTAGAACCCTAATTCCTGCCTAAACTAGGCCCTATTAGGCCGACATTGGGCCCAAACCCATATACCCATTTTCTCCAATTTTTAGCAAATTTTCCATTTCTACTCATCAAAACAAGCTTATTCAATTATGAATGATCCATCAAACCAGAATTAAATTGTTTTGAACTTAAACCCTAATTTGCTTAGTTTAGGCCGAATATAATTCCTAAAAATTAATAGATTTTTCTTCAATTAAAGTGTGATTTTTCATTCATGAACATTAATTCATGCTCAATTAAGTCGAGTCAAGTGTCAAAACACCAATTAAATGAAATAATTCAAAACCCCCAAATTGGGTTCATCAAAAACCATAACCCTAATTTTTCGTAATTGAGTAATTAAATCAAATCAAGCAATTAAATATGAAATTGACTTGAAATTAAGCATGCTTGTGGTGTAGGTAAGGTTAACTTACTTGATTTAGCTCCAAATTAGCCTTGAAAAGCTAGGTTGCTTGAGAATTCTCTTTCTCTCCTTCTTTTTTTTTTTTTTTCCCCTAAATTTGAATTAGCTATTTTAATATTCTTCTTGAAGGTATTTAGCTCCCAACTTAAAATTAAAGCTTAATCCACTGATTTAGAGGGTTAAAATTGATTAGGATTATTTTGGGTAATGTTTGAGTGAAAATTTTGCTAGAGTTTCCTTAGTGTTTTTCAAATTTTCTTCCCTTTTTAAATTTTCCAGCACCCTTATTTATAGAAAACGTTTGTGCACTTGTTGAACTTATCCTCACCCTTAATTTGGATAAATCTCAACCCTTAATTCAATTTCCAATCAATTCTTTTTTATTTGGCTAAAATTTTGCCCATTTGTTCTTCTTTTTGTTTAAGCCTTCCATTTAGTTTAATTTTAGCCACAAAATTTATTGGCATTCAGAATTAATTAATGCTTTAGGTCAGCCAAAGTTGGAAGGAAATGAGAAATTTTGGTCCTCCAAGTTTCTAGACTTTTCCATAGCCTATTCTTTCCTAAATCCTTTTTTTATGCAAAAACTCACTTCTAATCCTCCCTTTTTCATTACTAGGAAAATTTTTTGACCCTTAACATTCCTACATAATTTAATTTGGATTATTAGACTTTTAAATTTATGCAATTAAGTCCCTAATTTTAGGCAATTTAGTCCCTACTTATAAAATTCCATTCTACACTTTTCAAAAATATAATTTCTTTCCATAATAAATTTAAAAATTCATTAAGGGAGTTGGATTTAAATTTTCATAATTTGTTGCTCTCATTTGGGCCTCCAATTTATTTATTTAGTGTGAAAATTACACTATTTTCTATTAAAAACATTCGCTATACTTATTAAAATTAATTTAAATTTTCTAAGCACTCTCACACATCTCATATGATTATTATATGCTCTTAAAAAAATTCCTCATACTCTTAAGGTGCCAAACTAAATTCTTTACCTCTAAACACATTATTCCAACATACCAAAATTCAAATAAAATATTCATAGCACATAATAAAATTCACCGAAGAATATAAAATAATTTAACACCCCTCTAAAAATTATTCTAAGCACACAAATTATATTTTTCATTCATAAACAACATGCTGTAATTAAGTATTTCATGCAAAAACTACTATTCATGTACCGTAAAATCAATAAAATATCCCTTAAGCGAGAGAAAAACTATTTTAACTATTATATATATTCGTTGAAGTTCCAAAGGATTATTTCACACTCTTAAAATATGTTTTCCTTGTGTTTAATAGTAAATTTTTATTTAATTTCAGTTTCAGCGAGTACCGGTTATTACACTTACTATACTTCCTCGGGTAATTTGAAGTCCAATGGAATTGTAGGTCCTCTATTTATAGGGTAAGTTATCGTATTCGCTATAACGGTCCAAAATGCTTTGGGAAAATTAGAATGTAATCTCATGCTTCTTACTCGCTCATTCAAAGTTCTATTCATCCTTTTAGCAATACTATTTCGCTTTGGTATCATAGGAACTGTCTTGATCATTCCGATCTTATTGTCTAAATAATAATCTTTAAATTATGTGCTAACATACTCTCCTCCATTATCCGACTTCAAGGCTCCAGTCGATTTTCAACTTCAGCTTTTTCACTTTTTAAATACAGCAAACATATTAGATTTATTTTTAAAAAATAAACCCATACTTTTTTGGTGGAGTCGTCAAAAGTGACATAGTAGTGTGAGTCTCCAAGAGAAGTCACAAAGGCTAGTCCTATACATCCGTATGCACCAATTCCAGCTTCTCTTTCTTTAAGGATCTATTAGACTTCAAAAAAAAAACTCGTTATGCTTTCTATAGATACATGCTTCACATAAGCCAACATCAATATGTTTCAAATCTAGTAATTTTTTATTGATGCTAACTGCTTTAAACACTTTTTATTGTGTGCCTAAGCCTTTGGTGCCATTGTAATCACCATCACCATCAAAATTAGCCACTGCTCGTTGTATCCTTGTTATAGCAATCGTATACAAAATCCTAATCTTGTTGCCTCATGCTACAATCATATTCCCCTTAGTCATCTTTCATGATCCACTTCCAAATATTATTGTGTATCCAATATTATCTCATAGAAATCAGATTCTTCCTAAGACTCGGAATACATCTAACATTCTATAATTTCCATTACATTCCGTTGACGAGTTTTGATACTAACCTCACATTTTCCCTTTATATCCGGAGGTTCATCGTCTATAAGATAAATCTTTCTAAAAAATTTTGTAACATAAATATGTAGAAAATCTTTACATAGAGTAGAACGAAACGACGCACTTGAGTTTAGAATCCAAATTCTATAAGACTATTCCCATTATAAATTAAAGCATCCGTAATTTCATCGGTTATTACATATGCGGAATCATCATCCTAATTCTTCTTTTTCTTTGGAGCCTTACACTAATTTTTAAAGTGTCTTTTTTTTTTTTTTATCGCAATTCTAACGAGTTATCTCCTTAAGTTTTTGAATTTCCTTTTATCATTTAATTTTGATCTGTCATGACTATGATTTTGACCCTACTAAAAGCCTCTTCCTCTACTTATCGGTACTCAAAATAGAACTCGAAGGTTCTTTGAATTCACTCCTACGAAGATCTTCATTGAACATTAAATTTTAATATGCTTTGTTTTCTTTTGAATTTTATCCATTTGATTGCTATGTCAAGGATTAAAAACTAGTAAAAACACTTTTTATTTTATTTTATTTTTTATGTATGGGTACCTTGAGTTGATGTTTGTAAGTACTTGTATGTATTATTTATTGATCACTTTAGTAAATTTATTTACTTTTATTCGATTATTTGTAAATCCCATGTTTTTTATGTGTTTATTAAATTTTAATGTTTTGTTACGAGACAAATTGATAAAAAAATTAAAATGAAATAAAATTTATTATAATTGTGAGTTCCATCAACTTAGCAAGCATTTTTAAAAAGATTAATACGATCTGTGCTTCTATACTATATAAAAATTATCGTTACAATCTCTCTACCTATATATAGCGTTTTAAAAAATTTTATATTATTGGATGTTGGTGTAAAACATCCCTTTGGTTAACCTCTTCCATTAAATTGGTCAATTTTTATTATTTGATTAACGTTTGACCAATCAATTGACAAAATGTGTCAATTTAAAAAATATATATAATTTTATTTTAAAATAAGTTTTTTTTTCAATTTTTATAAAGTTAAAATAATTAATAATTGTGGTAAAGTAATTAAAAATTGAAAAAAAATTCTAAAGAAAAATTTTAAAATAATCAAATTTTGTTTAAAAAAATTTTAATCACTTTATAATAATTATTATTAAAGAACCCTTTTGAAAAATATATAATGAAACATATATAAAGAAATTATTTTTTTCAATTTTTTTATTGATTTTACAATAACTCTTATAGTTATATATTTTTAAAATTTTTTCTTTATTAATAATTATTATAAAATCATTAAAAATTGAAAATTTATTTTGATTACTTTTAAAATTTTATTTAGATTTTTTAAAATTTTTAATATATTATAAAAATTATTAATTATTTAAATTTATATATATATATATATATATATAATGATTTAAAAAATATATTTTTACCTTAAGTTTCACCACTTAATTGGTAAAATGTTAATTAAATAACCAAAATTAGTCATTTTAAAAGAAAAATATTAACGAAAAGATTGTGTTGCATCAATCTCTAATAATACAAAGTTTGCTAATTGAGTAATCTTCTTTCAAATTTAAATCATTTTTAAAAATTTATCCATCAATTAAAAAAATATATAATAATTGAGTTCTTATAATTTTAAGTCATTTTGTAAAATTCTATCCATTAATTAAATAATTTTTGCATAAAATGATCTAAATCCTTAATTTGTGGATTCATTTTTTAACCTTCAAATGAATTTGACTTTTGAGCATAATAATATATATCCATGAAAAAATTATATAAAAAAAAAAACATTTTTTTTCTCTTGAAATTGGAAAAGAAAAAATCGAAAAAAGAAACATAAAATAGCCTACCCCTTCTTTCTTTCCCACCGCCCCTTTTTTTCTACAATCTCATTAAACTGCCACCAAAAATACGAATGCCTAACAATGGCCATCTCTGCCACCAACTCTCAAATCTTATCATCCAAAACACTCCTTTTACTAAAAAACCCCAATTGCATCAAGTTGAAATCCAATCACTTTAAATACCAAACCTGTTATTCCGTCTAAGTCACACAATCTCGAACTTCGGCTTTCGCAAATCCTCACATTCCTCTTCTCTATGGCTCCTCCACTCAGCGTCGTCTTCAACTCCAATTCCTCCTCATTATCGCCGTCAGCATTAGGAGAGAACATTTCGAACTCATCAACGGCAAGGAGAGAAATCTTGCTGCGCCATCAACATCAAACGACATCTCAATCAACACCTTTCCGTTTTGCCTTCTACTTCTATGATTGAAGAAATATGGGTGGAGCTTGTGTTGGAGTTTCGGGTTTGAAATTGGATTCGGATTGGGTTTTCGATGTTGATGGTGTCTAATTTGAATTTGTCATGTTTAAAGAGAGATCGGAGTGTTTTATTTTTTTTAAGTTTGTATACCTTTTAGAAATAAAATGGTGTTTTCATAGATGGATCTGTTTGATAAACGAAAAGTGGTTTGGAAATTCAAATTCTAGACTTAATGGAATGCTTGGTTTTCTTGTTGTGTTCAAAATCATCATGAACGCCAACAATTTAATTGGCTAGGGGTTTGAAGATCGGGGACGGCAACAACCCCAGGAGAATGAGGAGCCATTCTATTACATATTTTCATTTCCATTTTTGGCTTTTTTGTGTTTTTATGTAATTTAATTTATTGTTAAAATTTTAGTTTTTATTTTAAGCCATACTGTCAATCTTATTTGGTCAACTAATGCCTCACAGTCGATCCAGCAGAAAAAATAGGCAAAATCCTATAAAATCTACTAGAAGAATTCAATTTCTAATGGAGTAAAATAATTTAAAATTCAGAAAAAATTTGATCCATTTAGTTTTTTTTTTTTTTTTTGACGAAAATTATGAATGTTGTCATAGGCACATTGTTGAAACAAATCTGACACTTTTGAGTCGTGCTAAATCTCTTTTCAAATTTTAACATTTAACATTTGCTACTGATGTTTATTTAATGAATCGAACGATTACCTACATCCTTGACACAGCCTAAGCTATGAAGATAACCTCCTTCGCATTTCATACTAAAATCAAAATTTAGATATTAAAATAAAAGAATTTACCGGTTAGACAATGTAATAGAAAGAAAATTAACATAAAAATTAGAGTTTTCTAGCCTAAGAATCTGAAATTTTGAAAATAAAGTGTCCCTAATTATTGTTATTGAATGTGTTTAGAAGAACAAATATATTTAATTGTTAATATTTAATCTAATAAATTAGAAATAATAATCACTAAAAACTTGGTCCATTTTTTATAAGTCCAATTACAAATTAAAATCATATTTTATATCATTTTATTATATTGAATTTTGTGTCCTTTTTTAAAAAAATAAATGAAATAATTTTTTTTTATTGCTATGCATGTGGGCAATTTTTTTTATTTAAAGAAATTAAAAACTATATTTTGGAATTTTAACTTTATCATTTAATTTAGTTTGAAATAAAAAATCTAATATTAAATAAAATATGATTTGCTGACAATTTTCTTGGTTACGTTCACATTATAACTATAGCAACAATAAATATTATAAGTGTTGTTCTACATGATTTTTTTTTATTTTTTTATTTATGAATAATCTTTGTCGAATGTCTTAATATTTAAATAAAATTTGTTTGATAGCATCATTAAAATAAATATAATACCACAGACATTCAGTAAATGTCCAATGTCAAAAACTCTCTCAAACATTCAAGAAGATTTTTTTTTGGATAAATTATTGGATGTTGCACACTAGTATTTATTAAATATTATAAAATGCAATGTGATTTACTATACAATTATTATCATTACTGTAATTGTTGAGAGAGAGAGAGAGAAAGATTTGAGAAAGTTAGTTTTTTAACCAATGATAAAAGAAACATCCATAGCAACTCAATTTGCAATGAAGCTTCACCTTATGTAATTGTATGAGTTAGAACAAGGTAAAAGAAAATGAAAAAGGATTGAAGGATAAGAGACGAAAAGGACTTAATCCATAGCAACTCCAGGTACCTGTTATGCACAAGCAAGTATTTATGTATGCAATTGGCAAATATGCACAAACAATGAATGTTAAACAAATATCTCAGATAAAAAAATGAGTTTAAAAGAATAACATACAAATTGTTATAATTTATTAAATAAAAATAAAAATAAAAATATATTCGCACTCAGCGACTGGTAATTCAACAAACTATGGACATTGCTTGACAGGGTTTGGCCAGAAACTGATGAACTAACAAATTTAGGCAAGCATGCAATGTTATAAGGAAAATGTCAAAGCGTCTATAGAAACTATCCTACACTATATAAGCTCTCTCTCTCTCTCTCTCATAGAGGTGACTCATTTTTTTCTTTTCTAAGAAGAAACTTAGAGAAAGAAACACTCTCCTAAAATTCTCAAAGCCTCTATAACAACCATCCTCTAAAAACTCAAAACCCACCATCACCTCCTTCATCTATCACCTAAAACACAACTACAAGCCTAAGAAACTCACTCTAGCCATCAACCATAAGCAAGGGAAAGCTACTCTAGTAGGCGGCCATAAGTAAGGAAAAAACCCCTTTCTCTTACAGCTACCATTGTTGCTACCACTGTTCAGTGGTAGTTGGTAGTTCCATGCTTCCCTTGCCCTTTCTCTCTTGGCTATGACTCTTCCTGCAGGCCCTTTTACTCTCGGCCTGACTTGGCTCCTTTGGCTAGGCATGTTCATGGTGGTTTCAACCCCTTTCAACACACGACAACAACAGTTTTGTCATAATAAAAAATAATCTCATCCATTTTACAATTTTAATTTAATTTAATTTAAGGAATTTACAAAAAAAAAAAAAAAAAAAAAAAAAAAAAAAAAGAAAGAAAGAAAGAAAGAAGGAAGTAAAATACAAAAATATAAATATATATAAAATACAAGAAAAATTCCATGAATATCCAATGACACAATCATATTAAATGAAAGTGTAATTGAAGTAATTAGTGATATAATTGAATCAATTAAAAAATTCAGAACCTAATTACACTCTACAGGAACCCGATTGATAAAATTGCACTTTACAAAGACTGAAATTACATAGCAAAAGGACACAATTACAAACAATTAAAATTCAAAGGGACCAAATTAAAATTTGGAAGTGAACGATAGGACTAAAGTCGAGCGAGATGTCCACTCTAACCTAAAAATTGTTCCCGGGCTTTGTAATATTGGTACCCGTTAAAATTGAAATTTAATAAATTTAAAAATATTAAAAGCATATGATAAATAAATTGTGAGCATGAAATAATCCCTACAATATTTAAAATATTTAAAATGGTTTTTTCATGCTTTATGAATATTTTAGGGATTTTTCGGTGCATAAATAGTGATTGTTAGGTGAAATAATTAATTCAAGTATGTTGAATGTGCATGAAAAATATTTTTTTTGTATAAAATATTTTCTAGAGGGGTGTTGGATTATTTGATATTGTTGGATGAATTTTCCGATATTTTGTGAATATTTTATTTGCATTTTATTATGCATAAATAGTAATTTTGAGGTAGATTAATTAATTTAGGTGCTTTAAAGATATAAGAAAATTATCCCTAGGGTATGGAAAATTCATCTAGGATGTGTGGGGATATTTAATAAATTTAAATCAATTTTTCTATATGTAAGGAATATCTTCTATACGAAATAGTGTAAGTTTTACACTAAATAATTAATTTGGAGAACTAAACAAAGGTATAAAATTATATGAATGATGATTAAATTCTCTAAGGAAGTGTTTGAATTTATTATAAAAAGAATTTGAATTTTGGAAAGGTATGGGATGCAATTTTAGACTTAGGAACTTAATTGTATAAGTTAAGGACTTAATTGCATAAAATCAAAAGCTTAAACCTTTAAATTAAATTAGATAGGAATTTTAAGGTTAAAAAATTTGTTATAAAAACTTGAAAAGAAGGGTTTAAAGTGATCAATTGAATAAAAGGAGGACTTTTGAAAGATTAGTCTATGGAAAGCTTTCGCAATTTAAGGGACTAAAATTAATCATTTTTCATCCATCATTTGCCGATATAGAGCATTAATTAAGCTTCACTTTCAGATAAATTAGTGGCTCTAATTAAGATAGATGGTAGGTTTAAATTAAAAGAAGAATAAATGGCTAAAAATTAAGCCAAATGAAAAGAAAAAGTTAAAAATTAAATTAAGGGCCAAGATTTATCCAAATTAAGGGTGCAGATTAGATGAACAAGTTCACCAAATTTTCCTATAAATAAGAGTACTATAAAAATTAAAAAGGGAAGGAAATTAGAGAAATACAAACTAAACTCTTGCAAAATTTCCACTAAAAAATTACCAAAAATATTTTCAACCAATTTTAGGTACTCCATGTCGATAAATTAAACTTCAATTTCAAGTTGGAAGCTAAAAATTTCCAAAGAGAAATTTAGAGAAACTATCCAAATTTAAGGAGAAATAGAGGAAGGAAAGAATTTGCAAACAATCCAACTTTCCAAGGTCAAATTAGAGCTTATTTGTGTAAGTTAATTTCACCTACATCACAAGCAAGTTTAATTTCAAGTCAATTTTATGTTTGATGCTTCAATTTTAGTTTAATTGCATAAATTGTAAAAATTAGGATTAGCGTTCTTAGTTAGAAAAAATTAGAAAAAATGGTCCTAACCAAAAATTTCCCGAAAGTGAGGTTACGGTAGGTTAATTGGACTCAAATTTGATGATTAGAAATAATAATAATAATAAAATTCTAAGGTTAGGAAGAATAACCCATTCGGCTCAAAGTTGTGATTTTAGGGTTTTTAGTGCTTTACTTGTTTTGATTATTCATCAATTGATTATGTGTTAATTATGTATGAATTAATGTTTAGAAATGAAAACTTACATTGAAATTGAAGAAAAATCCATTTAATTACTTAGGGAAACATTCGACCAAAATCCTTAAATTTTAGGGTTTTGATCCTTTCACTTGATTCATGAATTATTGGTTAATTAGTAGTTGAATAAGTATAATTTGATGGGTAAAAGTGCACAAGTTTAAGAAAGTTGAAGAAATTTGCCTAATTTAGCTTAGGCCTAATTTCGACTCACAAGGCCCCATTAGGTTTAAAGTATAAATTTAATCTATAAATGTAAATCAAATTGATTCTTAATGCTAATGAGTAATTGA